GACCTAAAGGGTGATGGTAGCAACATCAGTTCTTGACTTTCCTCATTTTAAGTCAAAACTTTTATGTTTTCACCTCCACTCACTTGGAAATGTGAGGTCAAGTTTTCCAAGAAATCCTGTAATACTTCATTTTTTTTCAGGGTTCCTTCCGATGTGTTTATCGTTTTCACATTCTTCTGAATGTTGTCATCAGTTCTAAATATTATGATAGGCAGATCCTGATGCTGAGGACAGATGTTGTCTCATTTTGGTTTTTTTTCCCAGACAAGTCAGCTGATTTTGTGTTTTCAAAATTAGATGAACTGCTCAGCAGTCAGTGAGGAAAGAGTTGATTCTGAAGAGCCCAGATTTCAAACCCTTCTGTCAGCTCCACATCTGTGTGGTAAGAGTGATCACAGGAAGTCCCTCTCTGTTCCCAAGTTGAGCCCTGAGTGCTGGCATTTCACAAGAGTAGGTTGTGGGTGGTAGGATTTCTGAAATCAAAGTGAGACCAAGAAAATCACGCTAGACGCTAATAAACTAGAGCAACAATGCATGTCAAGTGCTTGTTCTGTGTTTGTACACTATGAGGAGTTCTTAGACACTGAACGGTACAATTCTCAAAACAGTTCTAAAATATGTCCTCAATTTACAGGTGGGAAAACAGCATATGAAGACTGGGTAGACTAAACCAGAAACTAGTCTCAAACTCATTTCTATCTAGCAAAGATATGCTGTTTCCACTTCCCCTTCAGAAGAAACTGTATGAAATTCCTTTTCTGGGATCAAACTAACAAACAAACAACAACAACAAAAAACCTAATGTATGGTTCTAACATTTTCCAACATTTAATAGTCAGGTAAAAGGGTTTAAAATAAGTTTTAACAGTTTCATATTAGAGCACCATGGCATAACCTAGCTTGGGTCCTATATTGGCCAGAACCCAGTCAATGTTTCAGAATGAAGCATCTTCGGGGGAAAAAAAAATGAAACACCTTTTACTTTATTCTGTAGATATAGATTTTAGAGAAAACACAGTTTAAATTCATCATATATAAAATATACATTTTAAAGATGTTAACATAATAGCTGACTGTAGATTGCAGCATGTCATTTTTCAGAAAAATAATTTTTCATGGTATTCATAATTAATTTGGGGTATGTCTTTTTAGGAAAAGGTAACTCAAAAGCACAGTGTTAGAAGCACACCCAATCCAAACACGTTTGGCCTTAAATCTCATCCTGCACCTGGAGGCCTTCATCATCAGTTCATGTGTCCCAGCAGTTTCAATTATCAAAAGATCCATCCCAGTGCTGTATATTTTAAGCATGGCTGAAGAATAACAGAGCAAAAAAAAAGCCTTTCAACCATGGGAATTCAAAAGCAAAGGACTCTCAAGAGGCAATTTCAAAACCCTGCTCGTTGAGTTCACTCTAAAGCTTAATGACATGCCCTATTTGATACAGTTAGGGGAAGTGTTTCATCAAAAACTTTTTCTGAGGCTGGGAATTGAAATATTAGGTTTGTAGGTTGGCTCCCTTGGTCATACTGCGAGGTCCTGAGGGAATTCTAGTAAATAGAATTAGGGATAACCAGAAATGGCATATTAATGGCAACTAATATTTTTAAGTATTGAGAACTTACTGTAGACCATGCTTTGTGTATTTTGCATTCATTTGATTTCATTTAGTCCCATCCTTTGAAGTAGGTATTAATATTCTGTTTTATAGGTGATGAAAATGAGTCTCTGGGAGGTGAAGTAACTTGCTAGTGTTCACACAAGTAATTGGCAGAGGCAAAAATCAAACCCAAGCCTCTACCTTCACAGATGGAGCTCTTAACCATTTCATTACGAGGCCAGGAGTGACAGAGATGGGGCTGGATCTCAGGCTGTGATTCTTATGACATTTCTGAGGACAACAAAGTAACTGGAGATGAGGGTCTTGATTCCTCATGAGTCATGAGATATGTGAAACAGATTGGCCCTCTGGTTCAACCAGAATTGTGGTTCTAGCCAGGACTAAGGACCTGCCCATGAGTCCCTTTTCCTCCAGTTGCAGTGAGGCATATGAGAGGGTCAAGGTGGCCTTAGCTTCCCCAGGGTCATCAGTTTCAGACTGATTGAGAAGAGAATGGCCCCAAAGAGTTCAGAAAGTAGAGACAAATCAAATGATTTCTCTTTGGTCTGCATAGATGTGGAGGACACATCCAACTCACTCATCTAAGACAACAGTTGTTTACTCCCAAATATGATATGATTTACTGGCCAGATAAAGAAAAAATGAACATTTAAGAAAAAGAGTGTACTTTCTCTAAAAGACCCTAGATAATACCAAGGGTTTTTGCTGGTCAGATTCTATCTGTCCTTCTGTGTCCCAGACTTTTGACCTTTCAAGGCAAAGTCGATGGCTCTGTTCATTTTTCCCAGTCCAGAGTTATGTTTACTGATAGAAGGTATAATTACTCACAAAAGCATGACCACACAGTATGGATGAAGGGCTTTTTCTCTAGTTGCAGTCAACTATTTTTCTCGAAAATGGAATTCTATGAAACTCTATAAGCTTTACTCCCAAAGCTGGAGAATGAAAAGCTTGTCATGACCCAGAATTTGTCACAGGAATGTGAAGTGGAGACAGAGTAATAATTATTTTTAACAATCTAATAGTACCATATTCCTGAAGTTTTCTGGGCCCCTGAAACTAGCTTTTTCCAAACTGAACTTATACTTTTTCTATACAAACCAGTTTATCCTCCTATGCATCCAATTCCAATTAATGACATCTCGACCCACTCGGCCACCTAATGTGGCACCATCAACCATTTTTATCGTTTCTCTTCTGCTCTTCAACCCCACACAATCTGACATGGAGTGATGCAAACTCTACCCCAGAATTCTCTCTCTACTGTTCTTTCCCTTCAATTCTCACTCCTTTGCTAAATTTAGACTTATGGCTGATAAAATAATTTCTCTACCTTCAGTTTCTTCCCCACTTTCATTCTCTCCCCTGCTCCACCCTGTTACCAGATCTTAGCATGTCATGCTCATGCTTAAACACTGTCAGTGGCTCCCCACTGACTACAGGACAATCAGAATTTTAGAGTGGCATTCAAATTTCTTGACAAGATTCTTTATAGTTTTATCTCTCACCAATCTCTTTTAATCTTTTCTCAATTCAAACATACACATTCATGGACAATATCTTTGGTTACACTGAGTTTCTTACTGGTTTCCCCCAATTTTAAGGACTTTTATGTCCTCTTGCATTTACATTTCAAATTATCTCTTTCAAATAGAATTTCCTCTTTGAACATCCACTAATCTTTCAAAGAACAATATAAGTTTCATTTCAATCTTTCTCCACATACACCCCAGTGCAACTAATTTTTACACTATTGTAACATGTATTTGTAATGTATTATGCTTATTTGTATATATGTATGTATATATATATTGCCTCCTCTTCTCCTATCCCCAGAATCTGAGCTCCAGATTCCAAGCTTTATTTTGTCTTTGTATTTTTATTTCCTAGCTTAGTGAATGCTCATAGCAAATGGTCGATAAGTATTGTTGAATAAATGGACAAACTATTTTTTTTTTTAATCGGAAGCTAACTCTGACACCCAGGCTGAAATGCAGTGGCACCCTCAATGCTCACCATAGACTCTACCTCTTGGACTTAGGCAATCCTCCTATCCTCCCACCTCAGCTACCTGAGTAGCTGAGACTACAGGTACACACCACCATGACCAGCTAATTTGGGAGGTTTTTTTGAGGTTTTTTGTTTTGTTTTGTTTTGTTTTGTTTTTTATAGACGTGAAGTCTCGCTATGTTGCCCAGGCTGGTCTCAAACTCCTGGTCTTAAGCGATCTTCTCACGTCAGCCTCCCAAAAGTACTGAGACTACAGGCGATGAACCACATCTGAGTAAGGCTCATAGTGAGTAAATCCAAGACAACATTATGAGGACATTACAGTATTATATTAATTGCATAATTATTTAAACCAAGGCACAGGGAACAAAAAAAGGCTAAGGGTAGCAAGATGTTAAACAAACCAAGATCCCATTTGTAACAGCAGATTGGTTTGGTGATGTGGGGATGAGTCATAGAAAAACATTAATGAGAAGGTAAAATGTTTACTTACTCCTGCTTTCCCTCCGACAGAAATATTTCTTGAAAAAAATCAATTAAGAAATCCAAGTGGAGACTGCTTCCTGTCTTAGATATTTCTGTGCAACTCCATCATGCTTTCACGTTACTGATGGTTAAACCGATAGAGTTCAGGTCTGCTAAAAAGGACTTTGCAAACATTGGAATTGACATTAAACCACTGTGTACAAGTGACACCCCTGAGGGTCCAAGATCCAGCTCTTCCTCACTGGGCTCTACCTGCAACTTTCTGTTGCCAGATGCTTGAGCTCAGCTAAGCTCAGGTGCTTTTACAACCATTCAATTGCCACACTGAATACAAATCAAAGTGATTACTGTGAAAACCGCCTGCAAGACATGTGCCTCACAGTCTCTCCTCTGTCTTGAGATTTTTCCCATAAGATTCAACTAATTTAATTTGCTTTCTTCCTTCCCCATCCCTCCCCCTTAAAAAACACTCCTGTAAAACAACTTCTTCAGCCCCAAATCAGAACTTTTGGCAAGGGAGGAAAGAGATCATAAGCAATACATTTCCATAGATCTACAACTACTTTACACATATGCATGTGGGTCATCATTTGCTCTTAATGCCTCATGAAAGGTCTTGATCACTGAGTTAAGACACTGAGTAAATACAGCAGATATTTGATGCCACATTTTCTGACTGTACATCTCAGATGCTACATATATGATCATTTTCACATGACTTGGGAATAAGAAAATCTTAATTTCTTTTAATACCTTGGTCCTTTTGCAGTACTGAATGGTACCAGATTGCTCTAGTTTTGATCTTCATTCCAGGGTAGTTCCATTGTCCTGAACATTTACCTTTGCTCTAGAATTCACATCCCCATTATTTCAATCCTTCCAGTTGGCAGGTAACTTGATCTCCGACATGTTCACCTCCATTGGCTCAGTGACCCTAGCCTTGTTATTGATCCTCTTGCTGGCTGTTGTCGCCTCTGTTGTCGCCTCCAACAAAAGGGCAACTCAGGGAACCTACAGCCCAAGTCGTCAGGAAAAGGAGGGCTCTCGAGTGGAAATGTGGAGCTTGATGCCGCCCCCTGCGATGGAGAGACTGATTTAGAAGCATTCTGTCCCTTTAAGAAAGGGACCCACACGCTGTGAATGTAATGATTGTACTTGAGTGGTTTCTGACATACCTGAAGATGTTAATTTGCAACTGGAATAACACTGGAACTGTGGAAAGGATTCCCTTGACTATCTTAAAGACTTTCACGGTAGTTCCACTTGATGCCATCGTTTTATTATATTAGCCAATCAAAAATTGATGTCTTTGTGCCATTAATTTCAGCCTCATAATTAGCAAACATTTTTTTCCAGATAATAATGTCTTCTGAGAAAATCTCCAATGGCTGACTCTTCCTCTTTGCAACCTGGGGACAATTTTAGATTGCATTTTAGCTGGCTGCTGACTTTTGTTTACACAGAAGCTACAAGAAAAAAAAGCACAAATAGAATACATTTCTTACTTCTCCTATCATGTGGTCAAAAGTTTTAGCTACATACCTGTGATGAGGTGTATGTTTCTGTGATTATGAATTCAGAGAAAGCCATGGGAATGACTTACGGTTTAAAAAAGTGACCCAATGGCCACAAATAAAAAATGAAATGTTGTTGCTCTTCTTTCTGAGTATTTTTCACATTTTGTGGCATTACATGTGGACAAAAATAACTTCTAGAAGCATTTGAAGAACTTGCTTATGAGATAGATCTTTTAAATAAATCATCTCAAGTTGGTTACCATTAAAATCATTATTCTTTGTAAAGGGTTACTTAAGGTCAAAGAGTGTCTTAGACAGAAATCAAGATGGGAGAAAAACTCCCATTCTCAAGTCTGAAAGATCAAGTTCTTGTCTTCCAACTGCTTTTTGATAAATCAATGTCAGTGACGGTGTCTAAAAGTAAGAACCCTAAAGTGAAGTGGATGTACTTTAAGAGGTATGTGTGCAAGACTATGGGATATTGGAAGAAAATGCTGAGCTTCTCTTTATATATTTTTTCTACACAGTATTTGGTTATATTTCTGTATATGCTTTGAAATGTATATGATGTGCCATAGTAGTAGAATATAAATGAAATTTTAAAATATATGCATATATAGTTTGGGTATATGCTCAGCATATTTAATGATATGAATTTTTAATCTAGTCTAGAAGAAACCATTCTTCTTGGCTATTCAAGGGGTTCATTCCAGCAGTTCTCTCCCTCCCATATCATCAATTTTCCTCCTGTACTGGACCATTGCCATCAGCTCCAAGCATGCTGTCACTGTTCCTATCATATAAAATTCTCTCTTGTGATTCATATCTCCCTCCAATTGCCATCCCGTCCACAACATGGTTTTTTCAGCAAAACATCTACAAAAATGTGTTCTACATACTATCTCCCTTTCTTCCTCTCATCCTCTTTAAATTCAAACTAGTCTGTTTTTTCTCTCCACTACTCAATGCCTCCACTTTGCCAAACACAATGGCCATTCCTCAGTCCTCAGCTTACCTGACCTAGTTTCAGAAGCATTTGATACCATGTCATTCCTCTCAAAATACTTTCCACACAATGGGACACCATTTAATCTTGAATTTCCTTTTACTTCACTGTCCACCCCTCTCATTCCCTGGTTTCTATTCCTTTCTTTAAACTCTGCTTTATTATTCTTTCCATGCTGTTTGTCACCACTTGAGAAACTTCTTTTGAGGGGGGGACTCTCTGTTTTAAGTTACATGAGGAAAAGAATTTTGTGTTTTTCTTTCACTGCAATATGCCTCATCTAGAACAGACCTAACCCATAATACAAACACAATATATATTCTCTGCATACGTGGACAAGTAATGAACGAATGTTGTTCAAACTTGTACCTGCCACCAGCAAAATCCCAAAGTGCACAAGATTTGTGTGGGCTGTCGTTGGGTGCTCTGACAACTAAACTATCGTAACTCTGTAGCCCACATGTCTTACTCCATCTCTGGCTTATCCTCAATATTATTTTCCATGTAAGTTTAAGAAGGATATCTCTGGTAGTCTACATGTGGAGTATGCCATGAGATATATTTGTTTTCACATCCCGTTAGAGTTACAACCACTTAATATGGGTCTATTTGGAAAAGAAGAGAGAGAGAGCTCTTGCTTAAAGAAAAAAAACAGTAACTGACTTTTTTAAAATGCAAACTAAAAAAACTACAGAGTATAAATAGATTCTATTGGTATTAGCACAAAGACGAAAGGGGTAACTGCCAATGGTAATACTTTAGGAAAGTATAATTATCCTGACTATTCACCCTATTCTAGTATGTAGCTTAGGGCTTTGCATAAAAATGACTATACAAATATATACCTGATTGAATGCACGCAGGCATGAATAAACGAATGCTTCCATGTGGACACTGCAAACACATACATGATAAGGAGGTTGCTCACAGGGACAAGTTTCTGTTGTCTTTGAATAAGCAAAATATTCAATATCTTATCCTAGGAATGTTTCATTAACCCTGTGGAATACTTGTACTGAACTCTGTTTAACAATGTAAACTTCATCTTCGTAGAAAAGTGTTGTATCTGCATGATCATTGATGTTGGCCTTGTAACTTGCTGTGGCCAACAGAATGTCAAGGAAATGATGCTGCATTCGTTTTGTGTTGGAAGCTTGCAGCTTCTGTTTTTCCTCTCTTGGAAGACAACCCTGAGATTGCCGCACTGTGAAAAAAGCTGGAATTTTTTAAAAATAATGTGTGAGGAGAAAGGCCCAGCCTGTCAGCCATCCCGTCTCGGCTGAGTCTTGCCTCCAGCCACCCTGCCTGCTGGATGCGGTCGCTTTTTGGCCTATGTGAAACTGGCAAATGATCCACCTGATGGAGCCACAGAATCATGAGAAACAATAAATTAGGTGGGTTTTTTTAAGCCACTAAGGTTTAGAGTGTTTTGTTACATAGTAATTGATAACTGTGACAAAATTATTCATGTCCATGAGGCAACCTAAAGAACAGGACACTACAAGGTACTTTTCTGATTTTTTTTTTTTTTTTGCTTCCAAAGCAGTATTCATCTGCATAGTAACAATAATTAGTACATTATTAATAAAATATGACAACTCTATGTCTGATTTCTCTCAGAGTGGCAAGCAAAATGAAGATCTGTTAAGTCCAAACTCTGGTCCAGGAGGTGCTGTGGGTCACAGGCCTTGAGGCTCAGCTGTCTGTGGGCTCTGGGGCAGGTGTAAAGTGGACACAACCGACCTGCTTCCTGCCCTGGGGTGAACCCTGGCCCGGAGAAGCCAAAGTAAAAGGCACATCTGGTGTGTGTTTACAAGGAGTGACAGGAAGTTTCCTTCAAGTGGCCTCTCACGTGACTTCTGTAGTCATAGTGAGTGCAGAGAGAAGCAGGAAATGACAAATGACTGGAACGTAAGTCAGCTGTCAAACCTGCTCCTATGTTACTCCTCAAATTACCACTGTTTAGCAAGTCCTCTTTCTGTGAGACCAAGATAGGTTTGGAACCAGAGTCTGGCTCTATGTAGCCATCGTTATTATTATTACCAATTAGTATTAATGGCAGAAACTGAAGAATTACAGGAGGGTGTAGAGGTAGAACTGAAAGGTATCATAGTAATGTAAACAATGATTATTACAATGACAACGAGGGATCTCTCCCTGAGCTCTTGCTAGGGACCAAGACCATTTATTGCTATACTACATGCATTATGGTTCATTTAGACCTCACAACAGCCCTTTGAAGGAGGAATTTTTATCTTCATGTTAAGATCCTTTGGAGTCAAAGAAACATAAGTTTAAATTTCTGATCTGCCCATCCAGGTGACCTGAGTATAATCTGAAAGATAGGAATCACACCTCTATCTCACAGGCATATTATGATATTAGTATAAGAGGCTTTACTGCAAATAAGCCCGCACACAATATATAGCATCTATTATTATTATTCGGACTAGATGAGGTGTCAGTAAGACAGCAAACAGTAGTAACATGTAAATTGTTTCCATACTCCTTCCTCCTACATCATTTGCCAGACAAATCAGATGGGTAACTGCTCCCTTCCTAGTCTCCTTTCCATCCATCTTATGCTGTGTTTGTAAAACAAGCAGGTTTTGTGCAGAGAAATATAACTTTTTCGTGACATTCCCATCACTCCGAATTGTCCCACAATGACAGTTCATTCAACTGAAAAAATAATTCATCTGTAAGATTGAAATAAACTGTACATACCTGTGGTACATCCTCAATAAAATTGTCAGAAAAAAAAAGTCTGAGATCTCTCAGACCCCTAAACAGTGGATAATAGACTTTTTTTTGAGTTCTATGTATAGAAATGAATTTATTTTTGTTGTTATTATTACTGCAATATGGTCCTGCCTTTTAGGATTACTCCTTAGACCTCTTTTGTTAGAAAATCACAAGCATCTACTATCATCAACTGCAAGAAAGATTGGCCTGTGTGTCTTGGTTTAAATCATCCTTCTGATGAGGATTAGCTAGCCAACTTTCACCTGGTTTTATGCTCTACAGGGGTATGATTCAAACCATGAAGCTTTCCTTAATTATGGAGTGAATATGACTTTTCAAATTTCATTCTGCTTCCAGCAAAAGTGTAATTTTTATTGCTGTGCATTACATTGAATGGTGATGACAAAAATGCATGTTTCCAATTTAAACCCATTGTTCTGTTATTTGGTACCCAGACTTTGCTTTTTGTGGTTCCAGAAATCTGGGAACAACATCCATCAAATATATTTGTCAGTACCTGGCTGAGGACAGCTGTTTTAAGCACCAGTCACAGGATCTCCTAAGATGTTAGCAACAGCCTCCTCTTGAAAACTACTCCCAAATCCACATTTTGTAGTTCTAAGCAGAGTACATTTTGGAGGTGCTCATGGTTTGCATTTGAGGAAGGCTCCTGGCTCAAATCTGATTTCATTCATGGCTAAAATAAGGCAAATTCTGAATGGAAACAAATATATGTGTTAGTAAAAGTCTCTAAAGTGAAATACAAATCAAAACTACAATGAGATATCACTTCACATTGGTCAGGATGGCTATCATAAAAAGTCAAACAGCAACAACAGGTATTGGCGAGGTTATGGGGAAGAGGAAATGCTTCTACACTGTTGGTAGGAATGAAAGTTAGTTCAACTTTTGTGGAAAGCAGCATGATGTTTTATCAAGAGCTAAAAATTGAGCTACCATGTGACCCAGAAATCCCACTACTGGGAATATACCAGAGGAACATAAATCACTCTACCCAAAAGACAACTGCATGGATATGTTTACGGAAGCACTATTCACAACAGCAAAAACATGGAACCAGGAGATCCGGTAAGATGGTGACGGCATAGGTGAAATTGTGAGATTCTCCAAATGTGAGTTCCCAAGAAGACTCTTACTTTTCTTCCCCCATACCCCCACCCACCACCAGTGGCACTGGTCCAAGGCCTGGGGACCTTCGGTTCCAGGAGGGCTGGATATTGCAGCCCCCAGCTGCTGCTGCTCCACCATACGTGACTCCCACCTATGCAGGAATCTCGGGTCTCACCTCCCTCCCTGGCTACATTGTCTCTTGCCCAGCACCCAGCAACAAGCCACCGGTCACTCAGGGAGGCTCTGGG